CCCTGGCCCTTCCTACTTTCTCATCTTTGTATTTGGACATATGTTGCCCTTTTGGTCTTGTATAGGTGATTGTTTTAATAAGCACATTCTTCATGGTGTTACTGTTTATTTTATAAGCCCATCTATTATTTGCCTGAAAGGTGGACTCTGGGAGTGTCTTCGGTTTCAAGATAGAGCAGAGCCTCCTTTGTGCGCCATTTGGCTTTTACCCTGTATAAGATGGAGAGCACTGTAGGGTTCTTCAGGTAGAAGAATGACATGATCATCTTTCACCTGCCATTTGGATTTTTCTTTTTCCTTCTGACTTACTTTCTTTGTTGTCATGTGTTCCTCTGCTGGTTCCATTTAATGTCTCCTCTTTGCAGGTGGTGAGTTTATTCTTAATCTAGGCTAGCTCAAAGTTCGTGTGGTCCAAAGTTTCATGTGTGAGTTTCTTTAGCCTTGAACTTCTCTTCAGCCACTGATCTGCATTGGATTTCACAATGCAGAGAACCCCATTGTTTCCATTGCCCAGGAAGACTCCTTCCTACAAATAGTGTATTTGTACCCTCCCTCATTTGCCTCCTCTGCTCCTTAGCACCCAGCCAGCTCCAGCAGAGTTTCAGTGGCCAGCCAGTGCAGTGGCCCCCTGTGCTGCACCTTCTGGAAGCTTGTTTGCCAGCCCTTTCTGAACTCCACAGTCATATGGCCTTCTTCCAGCTTTTTGCTCCATGCACCCCTAACTGGGTTGTCACTTCTTTTGGCATCTCTTCCACCTCTTCCATGTTACTCACTATCTCCTTGCTTCACCAGAAATGGAGCTCGTGGTTTTGTTTCTTGCCCTTTGGGATGATTTCCAAGAAGCAGAGGGAGAATGCAGACTTGACACAATCATCTTCAAACCCAGAATCCCAATTATGGTTTTGGTGTTTTATTTCAGAGAACAAAAAGAAGGAAAAAAATCTATAAAATAGGCAAATACCTAGAGATGGAAAGTAGATTAGAGGTTACCAGGGGCTGAGGGGAGGGGAGAATAGGGAGAAACTGCTTAATGGATAGAGTCTCTGTTTGGGATGATGAAAAAGTTTTGGAAACACATAGTGGTGATAGTTGTACAAGCTTGTGAACACAATTAATATCACTGAATTGTACATTTAAAAATAGTCACAGTGGAATACTTTTATGTTACATATATGTCACCACAATAAAATTTTAAAAAAAGAAAGAGATAAAGTATACAGATTTAGTAGTGGGCTTTTACATGGAGAGGACCAGGTTGGAAAATTTAGTCACTTTCATCACTCTTCAGACAAATGTGAGGAGTTGGTGGGTAGCGCAAATGGTTAACACACTCATCCGCTAACTAAAATATTGGATGTTTAAGTCCACCCAAAGGTACTTTGGAAGAAAAGCCTTGCAATCTACTTCTGAATAATCAGCCATTGAAAGCCCTGGTAGGCACAGTTCTACTCTGAGACACATGGGGTCACCATGAGTTGGAATCAACTGTATGACCACACGGACTGGTGGGCAAATGTGATAGTGGTTTCTGTTGGGAAATTGGGCCTGGCTGAGAAGACCAGAGTGTGTCCAATAGCTTCTTTCCTGCTTTGTTTCCGGCCTTCTCTTTTGGGTTATGGTTGAAGATGGGCTGTGTTGGGCCTTTTTCTTGTACTTAGCTCCTCCAGGGCAAGGACTTGAACTTGCTTACAGCAGGCTCTGTGTAGTATAGTTCTGTGAACACATCACTTTCCTTGGGGGAGTTTTCAATGATGTTCCGGTGGGATCCGAGACATTTGTGTTGCTGATTTGGTTGAATAGTGCTGCAATTGTAAGCCCATGATAAGATGAGATCTGCCATCTAAAGCATTGGAGCCCATCACCCCTGTGCGTTCTACATGCATACAAGTGAGGGGCCTACATTTCTCATCGAGTGTCTGAATCTTTTTTAGGTCTAGAGCTTCCTTGATGATATGACAAAAGTCATAGCTTTTCCCTATACATATGATGTTTATAGATTGTTTGAGTCCGTTGCTGTCCTGAAGGCCACAAGTGCCCCCTCTTTCAGTCATGGTCCCGGATGACAGACCTCTTTTTACTACACGGTGATGATTATGGGGGATGTGATTTGGCACCCTCCTGAGCCATGAACCTTATTTGCTCCTTGTTGTGAGGTTCAAGACAAAAGTCTGAGGGGCAAGTTCCTAGCAAGGTCTTGGATTTTCCTTAATTTCTGTTATTCAACTTTATTCTTCCTGCTTTACCAGAATTAATCAAATATTTGTTGAATCATCTGTTTCTAAAATCCTTGACTTCTTGGGTTATATATAGACTAATTCTATACCCTCCTTATGTTGGTAGAAATTGAATGTTACTGTTAGGTACTGTTGTATCGGCTCCAATTGAGTAACCCCACGTATAACAGAATCGATGCTTTTGAGTTGTGTTTGCGAAGAATGCTGTAAGTACCATGGACTGCTAAAAGAACTAACTAATCCGTCCTGGAAGAGGTGTAGCCAGAATGCTCTTTGAAAGCAAGAGTGGCCAGACTTTGTCTCACCTACTTTGGTCATGTAAGAAGGGACCATTCCCTGGAGAAGGATATCATGCTTGGTAAAGTGGAGGGACAACCAAAAAGGGGAAGGCCCTCAACGAGGTAGATTGACACAGTGGCTGCAACGATGGGCTCAGGTATAGCAAAGATTGTGGGGCTGGCACAGGACTGGGCAGGGTTTCATTCTGCTGTCCATGAGGTCACTGTGAGTTGGAGATGACTTGACAGTACCTAACAACAACAACAGTGTGTAACGGAACGGAGCATTGCCCAGACCTGTATCATCCTCACAGTGTTTGAGTCCTATACCATTCTCACATGTTTGAGCTCATTGTTGCAGCCACTCCTCAGTCAGTCTTGTTGAGTCTCTTCCTCTTTTTTGCTGACCCCACTTTACCAGGCATGATGTCTTTCTCCAGTGATTGGTCCCTCCTGATGACATGTCTTAAGTAAGCAAGACAAATTGAATAGAACTGTGTGTGTGTGTGTGTGTGTGTGTGTGCCTGATTAATCTACAAATATCTTGGTAATTTTGTATTTTCTCTACTATATTGTTTCTTAATTAAATCAAAGAATGACAAAAAGGGTCCCTTAGGAGATGAAGTATTTACTCTGCTTACTTCCAAGGTACTTCACTGCTTTTTCCTTCTTATGCCAAAGGGATTAAGGAAGGAAGAGTTTTTATTAATGCCATGATTAAATATGCTAGTTGTTGGTCAACATGGATCCTGTGCCCATGTAATTAACTGAAAGTATTACACTTAAACAGGAACCAAGCTATCCTTAAGCACTGTTGATAAGATTCATAAAATTATTTTGTCTCATTTTATTTTTGGGAAGCACTAGTCAAGTACATTTAAAAAATATACTAATGGATTAAAATATTCATTTTTAAAAATAGATTTCAGTTTTATTTAGAGTATACAAAAAATTATTTCAAAGGAATTTTCATTTAAATTTGCTAATGAGTATTATGTGTTATTAGGAGCAAAATGAAATCTACATCTTGAATTCTGCTTAAAAGGGAGGTGATTGTGTTTGTTTTAATTTAGACTTTAAACTTCTGGGTAGGGAATGGGGTACAGAAACAAAATGCTTCACACATTTTAGAAAACCAGATGCTGTCGAGGTGACTGACTCATGGTGACCTTGTGTGTGAGAGTAGAACTGTGCTCCTTAGGGTTTTCAGTGGCTGATTTTCTAGAAGTAGATTGTCAGGCCTTTCTTCTGAGGTACCTCTGGGTGGATTCGAACCTCCAACCTTTCTGTTAGCAGCTGAACACATTAACCAATTGCACTGCCCAGCGACTCTTTCACACTATTTCTGGACCCAAAATTCCACATAATATAAGAACTTAATGAAATATTGTTTTGCTGGGTGATGAGAGGAAGTAGGAAGTGAGAGGTAAGCAGTTTTAAACACTAGTAGAACAGATTTTTTTAAAATGTTTTGATTTGCAAGCCATTGTTGGTTTTGATTTGGTTTTGGTGTCAACAGTTTTCTGCCATCATATTACATATGATCACAGTTGTGCCACATCCTGAAGATCATTTCAGAAATATATTATTTTGTATTCATTGTGGGTTTTCTTTCTGCTTCGGTCAATGCTATTTAATCCCCTCAGCTTCCTTTCCACTTAAACCCCCATGACAAATTCAAACTATCATGTTATTCGGTGACAGGAAGAAACTGCTATCCAATAAAGAATGTAGTTAATGTGCACATTCTATTACTCAGTCATTATCTCCAGATAAATGAATAGAAGATCTATTGTGAAGTCTTTGTTAAGTGAGTTAGGAACTAGGAACTCCAGGGTCGAATGAACCCCAAAGTGACCCAGAACACAAGGGGCTGGGAAGGTCTTAAGGGAAAGTGAGACTTTGCTTGCATGTATTCTAGTAATACCTCTAAATTGCTCACTTGTAGTTGAGGTTTTCTGGACAACAGGGGCACCAGGCTGACTGTCAGCCGTTTAAAATTACTCAGGCATTTGAAATTGGGTGGTCATTTCAGTCAGCATAATTGAGAAAGAACCCAAAAGAAAGAGAGTTCTAAAGTGTCATGCCCCTTCTGAAACGACATTACTGTGATTATGTGTGAGATAGCCCAGAATCTATATTTGCCCCCAAACCCTTCTCTTTGCCCTTTTAAAATAAGTGTTGGGGTTCTCCAAGCTCATGAAGGAGGATCTGAAAGGCAGGTGGAATGAGGTTCCTCGCCCTTGTTCAAGATACTTGCCTGTGAGCAGGCACAGCCCTGCATTGTAAGAAGCACTAGCTGGGTCCCCACAGGGCTGTACCTTCTGCATCTTGGTGCCCTGGAGACCGTTCTGTTACAACTACCAGTACTCAGTGACTATCTGAGCATTTGAATGAATTGATTGCTAAGTGGATTGACTTCCGGTTATAAACAAGGTGAATGAAAGTGGCATGCTCATTTAATTGGTGGCTGTCTTCTGTCTTTTAGGAGATGCTCTCTGGTGTGGTGGTCATAACTAGTAAGGATTCAGTCCAGCACCAGGGAGTTTCTTTAACAATGGAAGGAACTGTAAACCTCCAGCTCAGTGCCAAAAGTGTGGGTGTGTTTGAAGCTTTTTATAATTCTGTTAAGGTAAGAATGCTTAGATTTTGATGTTTTGTTCAGTATTCGTATGTCTGTAGTGGTTTTCATGTGCTGTCTGTTCTTATTGTTACAGTCTATCATTATTCTTGCACAGGGTGGTGATAGTTGTACCTTTAATAATTGCAAATCAAATTGAAGACATATTCAGATATTTTGTTTCTAAATATACCATATTATCCAATGTGTTTGATAAGGTACTCGTTTTCGTTCCTTATTTGGTAAATAGAATTAGAACTATAAATAGATTAATTTCAGCCATTAAGGGAGATGAATTCCTCTGAGAAGTTGTGGGTTTGGCTTATGGTGGTCCTTGCTTTCCTAAAACAGAAATGTTATTTTATTAACTTTGTATATTGCTGCTGTTGGATTTGACATAATGTGAGATGCAATTAGAGCAAGTAGCCATTCTTTCCTTTTTGTCATTTAAGGTAGAGTTATATATTCCAGAAAGTAAACTCTTTTTCTGTACATAAGAGTTTCCTTTTCCTGAAGGACATGTTAACTCTTTTTTTTTTTTTTTTTA